AAAAAAAAATGTGCATACGTCTCTTAACTATGTGGGGTTTTTTGTATTTTTTTTTTGGTTTGGATTTTTTGAGACAGGGTCTCCCTATAGCCCCCAGCTGGACTGGAACTCACTATGTAGACCAGGCTGGACTTGGAACTCACAGAGATATGCTTGGCTCTGCCTACAGGCGTGTGCCACTATGTCCAGCTCCTATGTATTTTTACATAATTGGAAAAAATAAAGGTAGGAGCAGGGCTGGAGAGATGGCTCAGCAGTTAAGAACACTGGCTGCTCTTGCAGAGGACCTGGGTTTGGTTCCCAGCACCTACATAGTGGTAAACAACCATCTGTAACTCCAGTTCCAGGGGACTCTGATACCCTCTTCTGACCTCCACAGATGGGTATTGCATGACACAGATGCACTTATAAACATGCAGGTAATACACTCACACACACAAGTAGTTAAAAGTACTTGCTGCTCTTGGAGAGGATCTGGGTTTAGTTCCCAGCACTCACATCACAGGTCACAATATATAGAGTTCCATGCTGGGCATGGTGGCACAAGCCTTTGCTCACAGCACTTGGGAGGCAGAGGCAGGCAGATCTCTGTGAGTTTGAGTCCAGCCTGGTCTAAGTATTGAGTTCCAGGCCAGCTGGGGCTACAGGGAAAAAAAAAAAAAAAAAAAAAAAAAAAAAAAAGAGTTCCAGGTGATCTGTTGCCTTTCTCCAGTCTCCATGGGCACTAGGCGAACATGTATGCATGCAGGTAAAATACAGGTAAATACATACATGTAAAATAAAAATTTTTAAGTGATTTGATTCTATTTTGGGGGTTTTTGGGGGGGGGGCAGTTTGAGACAGGGTCTCCCTGTAACTCCAGCTGCCTGGAACTTGCTCTGTAGACCAGGCTGGCCTTGAACTCACAGAGATCCACCTGCCTCTGCCTCCCAAGTGCTGGGATTAAAGTGTGTGCCACCCGCCGGGCTCTCTATTTTTAAACTTAAAAAAAACCTTTTTTATGTGTATGTATGTATTACCTGCATGTAGGTAAGTGCACCCATGTCGTGCAATACCCCTGGAGGTCAGAAGAGGCTGTCAGATCCCCTGGGACTGCAGTTACGAACAGTTGTTAGCTGTCATGTGGGTGCTGGGATTCAAACCCGGGTCTTCTGCAAGAACAACCAGTGTTCTTAACCATCTCTCCAGCCCCTGATTCTATTTTTAAAAGTATAACATACTAGTATATTTATAGAAAAAAATGAGGACTATATAAAATGTACTGTTAATGTTCATTTTCTTTAGAAGTTAGTTGAGGAACTTCCAGAATCTAAATTTGTAATGGACTTTCTTGTAGTCAGTCTATACCACATTTCTAATTAGTGAAATATACCTATGTACATATACTGAAATAGCTGAGATGAGTGAACAAGTTGTCCGCAATGAATTAAGGAGGGTAAGAACATATTCCAGAGACATTTCAGTGATAAAAGTGATGAAGGATCAATGAGCAATTATTGTGGGAATTCAGTAAGAAATCAATGTAATATAGTGATTAAGATTAAAAAATGGACTTTGTAGTCAGACAAGCCATCATCAAATGCCAGTTCAACCATTTATTAGCTATGCAACCTTGGGCTCAAAGTTATTTAAGTTCTTTTAGCCTGGGATCCCAAGTTTGTAAGATGAGACGAAGTGGAATAAAGGAAGACCTATTTCATAGGGCTTTTCTTTTTCTTCAGTAATAGGGATTAAACTTAGAACCTCATGCTAAGCAAGTGTTCTACCTCTGAATTACTTCATAGAGCCTTATGTATCCCAGGCTGGCCTCAAACTTGCTATATAGCTGAAAATGATCTTGAACTCCTGATCCTCTTGCCTTTACCTCCCCAAGTGTTAGGATTACAGGTATGCCCACCACACCCAGTTTGCACACCTGGTTTTATACAGTACTGGGAATGGGACTCAGTCCTTCATGTATGCTAGAAAAGGACTCTACTGAGTTATATTGCCAGCCTTTTTTAAAAAAAATCTTTTGAGATAGGGTCTTCCTGTAGCTCCAGCTGGCTGGAACTCTCCACATAGACCGTCTAGACTGGCCTGTTCTCACAGAGATCCACCTGCTTTTGCCTCCCAAGTGCTGGGATTAAAGGCATGTGCCACCAAGTCCGCACTAGCCCATTCTTTATTATTGTTGTTGTGTGGGGGGGGGTTGTTATTTTTTGTTTGTGTTTGTTTTTTTCTTCCTCCTCCTCTTCCTCCTCCTCCTCTTCTTTTTCTTTTCTTCTTTTCTCTTCCTCCTCCTTCCTCTCCCCCTCCCCCTCCCCTCCCCCTTCTCCTCCCCGTCCTCCTCCTCCTGTTCCTCCTTTTTCTTTTGTCTTTTTTTTTTTTTTTTTGAATTTTTCAGACAGGGTCTCCCTGTAGCCCCAGCTGTCCTGGACCTCACTATGTAGACTAGACCAGCCTTGAACTCACAGAGATCCACCTGCCTCTGCCTCCCAAGTGCTGGGATCAAAGGCGTGCACCACTACTCCTGGCTCCTTCTTTTGTCTTTTTAAGACAGGGTCTCCCTGTAGCCCAAGCTGGCCTGGAACTCACTATGTAGACCAGGCTGGCCTCGAACTCACAGAGATCTACCTCTCTCTGTCTCCCAAGTGCTGGGATTAAGACGTGTGCTACCATGACTGGCCTGTTTGTTTTTTTGAGACAGAGTCTCCCTGTAGTCCCAACTGGCCTGGAACTTGCTATGTACTCAAGGCTAGCTTCAGTCCACCTGCCTCTGCCTCCTGAGTGCTGGAACCAAAAGTGTGCACCACCATGCTGGGATACTTTTTATTTTATTTTGCTTATTGAGTACACAAGGGGCAGCAGGTTGGGCAATAACAAGAACACCTGCAAGAGGATGCATTTCAGAAGACTCAGAAGGCAATTCCTCTTTGTCCCCAGGAGTTGAAGGGTCATTTTAAGGAGGACTTTGTAGAACACAATTAGGATTTATAACTGCATGGAAGTTCCACAAGGGAGATGCTGTTATAAATAAGGAAACAGGCTCAGAGAGATGAAATGCTTTGGCCAAAGTCACAAAATAAAGGAGTGGTGGAGCAAGCTGCAAACTGAGACTTCCTGATACAGGTCTGGTGGTGTTTCCTCTACATCCTGATGTCCAGCAGGGAGGAAGTGGGGGCAGTAAATGACAACTGGCTTCAATTTTTGGTTTTTAACTTCGCTTTGTTTAGAGTGGGAGAAATTTGATCATGTTTATAGGCTGAGAGGAACTTTTCTTTCTGAAAGAATTCTTAGCCTTGTTTTAAATTTTTATTTGAAATATTTTTAAATTTATAGAAAAAATGTGCAAGAACAGTAA